CGGACACGCGCTGACCCTTCCCCTCCCCCTACTCCTCCCATTCGCGTGCACTCACCTGCGGACACAGGTCCGGACGCTGCCGGACACCGGACTCCTCGGCGGCTGAGTCGTCGGAGTGGTCGTCGTCGGGGACCTCCTGGTACTCCTTCTTGTGGGCGAGGCCGAGCGTAGGGGTGAGGGCCTGCGCCAGCAGCAGGTTTCTCTCCCGTAGATCGCCGTCGCGCAGGTCCCGCAGGTACTGCTTGTCGGGGTGGTGCCTGCACGCGGCTCGGTGCTGGCGGGGTTGCGCGGCCGCGGCCGTCGCGACGCCCGGCGGCCCCGAGGCCGTCCTGGCGGCGGGCGGGTGCGCGCGCGGCTGCTGGCGGGGCTGCGGCCGGCTCGGCAGCAGCAGCGTGGTGCTGCCGCACTCTGAGCCCGCCACGGAGGTGGTGGAGGACACGGCCGAGGACACGGTCGAGGACACCACCGGCGGCCTGGACGTGGACGGCCTGTAGATCCGGTGTCCCTCCGGCGAGGCTCTCTGAAACAGCACAGCCCGAGGGCTCCAGGTGAGCATCCAGGTGATGAGGGTCGGGGGGGTGCGGGGGTGGCGGGGCAGCTGAGTCACCGCACCGAGCGCAGCGCGCACAGCCCGTGCATGTCTCCATGCCGCACGGCCTGGACTGGACTGGCTCCTTCGGCCCGGCCCCGGGCCGCGCCGCCCCGCCGCCCCAGGCTGAGGCAGCCCTACGCTGCAGTGATGCAACCCCATGACGCGCGGCGGGGCCCCAGGCGCCTCAGGGCTGCGCAGGGCCGGGGGTGGGGGGTGGAGGGGTTGATTGGCGCGCCCTCTTCCTACTCACTGCCTTGTGACTTTCCGACATGTGCCCTGCTGGGTCGCACAGCTGTACACTGCTTTATTTATTTTCGTTTTTGCTTGCTCTTCCTCTCTGCAGCACTGCCCCTGGCCTCGCTGCTGCATTCCTGTCCTGATTGATGGTCCTGGATACATCCTGGACGTGTCCTGGACACTAGTGTCGTCGCTACTCGATAGCGTTCACGTACGCGAGAAAAACCGGGATCACGGGGGGGAAAAACAGGAATTGGAAAAAAAAACAGAAAAAAAGGAGGTTGGCGTGGTTCTCGTTGCCCCCTGGTGATCCTTGCTCACGCTGCATGCATGTGTTCCGCCAACTGGGCGGCACTTATCACCTCGTGTGCTTCTCGTATGGTTATTGCAGTTCATGCAAGCGAGCGGTGCTGGCGGGTTGCCTACTTGCACGGAGTTTTGAGCAGTCTCTAGCCAGTGGCATTGAGACGCACAGTAAACGAAAATTGGTTGTTAGAATAAACAAATTTGCTTTTTTTGTCCGAAACTGGCCGTGGAAGTTAATATTTAGTTGTGCAGTTGGTTTTGCTCGTACACCAAGTGGGTGTTTTGTCTTAGCTCCTGCAGCGACAGCCTTGCTCTGGCAACTAACCAGCTATATGACAACTAAGTTCGATTGGCTATTCTTCCCGAAATGATAATGTCTTAGTTTTGACGACTAATCTGCCTACTCGTATATACCTGGTCGCCGTTCCCGCGGTACACCAAAAAGTCACGGCGTTCACCGCCGACCTGTTGGATTTGTTTTTCTTCCAAATTCCCGGCCCGAAGCGGCGCCCTGTGTCGCGCGGCGCGGCGCTCTGGGTCGGGTGTCCCACTATCGACCTCGCGTTGCTGCGCATCAGCTGCTGCCCGAGCCGCAGCCCTCGCTCAGCTGAGCTCGTATTTCGCCTATTTCGCGCATAGGTTATCGGACTCGGCCGGACTCTGCGTGGCGCGGAGACACACCTGCAGTGGCTTTAGGAGAGCTTCATGAAATCTTAATATTTTGGTCCCAATATCACGTTAACACTGTTAGGGTGAAATAGCTACCTCCAGCGCCGCCGCGCCGTCCGCGGTCCGGGAGCGCAGAGAGCGTGGCGTTGCAGTGGTACCACCGCCTTCCCATCGCCCCCCCCCTCCCGATCGCACAGTGCAAAAGGGGGGGGGGGGGGCAGCGGTGGACGGCCCTGCCCAAACAAACCTAATGACAAACGCCGGTATCGCCCGCTATGCGCTGTAGATGGATAGCAAGGATGGTAGGGGCGGGGAACCTTTCTTGCTTCTGGTAGAGACAGTCTCTAGGGAACTGTCTAAAAAGTTTATGAGTAGCAGAATTTAAATTTGAATTTTAAATGCATGTTGTCCTCTATTTTTGCATTCCCTGTGTGGAGGAAGGGTCAGGAGCAGGGCTAAGACTGAGGCGTAATTCTGTATCTTTGGGCTTTTCCTCTTGGCGTAAAGGGAAAATGTCCGAGGGGTTTCTCAAGGAAACGACTTATTTGAGTGTTTGATGGACTGTGATATAGGCACTTTTTATGACAGCACTGTTTCCCTGTCCCGGCCTGTCGGTGGGCAAATTACGGGAGCCGCGGGAGCCCAACGCCTGCGAGACTCCGGGTAGGCCACATCGCAGTACACGCGTGCACTGCAGGCAAGATATTGCCTACCCACCAGGCGCTATGAGAGCCTGCCTGCAGCCGCTGAACTTTGCAGTTTTGTAACGCCGAACGACGGGTGAACTTCCTGGACGATCCCTCCTAAGGCACCATGCACTACCCTGGGTCTGGGCCCCTGGGTGCCTGGCCTGGGTCCTAGCGAATAAAGGCACCCCCCTCCTCCGCCGTCGGTCTCAGATGACACGCCTCACAGCTTCACAGTAGGCGACATGCACCCTGCCCGTCAGTCGGGCCTAAAACTACCACTAGAGCACTGACTTGACTTTACTAACTGCGAGGCCTCAAGGTTTTTCACGCGGCTTAGCCCGTTTCCCTGCTTTGTTTTGTGGTTTTAATTTTTGAGCACCAGCTGTTATATATAATGTAAAATCGGATCCTTGAAGTTTTGTCGGCGCAAAAAGAAAAGGGATTTGTTAAAAACAACGCCGACTGCTAGCTAGCCTCGCGCGGCGCTGCCAGAAATGCACGTGGCTCTGTTCTCTGTATCTCCAGACAACGGCTGGGCCTCTGCTGGAAATAGACCGACTATCGAGTGACCGACCGGCCGCTGTCGCGCCAAACTGCGCCGAGAGAAAGTCTCCCCAGAAAAGAAGCCTATCGCCGACGAATGAATCGCGCAATGCAAATTCCGAAGCACAGCACGATATTTAAATGATCCAGTATGGCTGATTTAGCTGGCGCCGTGCTTTCTGGCGGTAGAGATTTTGCTCTTATCGTATAGCGCAAACTACTTGGCTGCCAGTGACTCTCCGACCACCAGCCGCTGGTCCTCCTGACCCGAGCCCTGTCCGTCGAGGGCCGCGTCGTGCGGTCCAGTCCACCCTTGTCGGGCGCGGCGCGGACGCGCGGAGACGGACGGCGCGAAGCCTTGCCCCGTGCGGTAGGCAGCCACTCGCTCGCCGCCGCGGGGGGCGTCTGTGTCGGGGGTATCTGCGGTCGCGTGTGGGCAGCGTGTAGAGCCGCGGCGAGCGAGGGGT